AGAGAGAGAGAGAAATGCACGGGAAAGAAAAAGAAAAGGAAGGAAAAGAAAGGAAAAAGAAAAAGAAAAGAAAAGAAAAGAAAAATAAAAGAAAGTGACATCTGTAAAATATAACAGTCCAGAAATGCGCCCATACACACTTCTGGATTAAATAAATTACTGTGAATAATTTAAATACCTTAGAATTATTTAAACTCAATTAATTAAATCAGATTGGCACACTAATAATCTCAATTACCTTAATTAATCTCAATTAATTCTTCAGGGTGTTACAGTAGTTAGGAATGAAGTTCCAGCCCTAAACATGCCTTAGCCAAACCCAGTGTAGATGCAAGCGCAGTTAAATTCCCTATACTGATATGGTCCGACACTTGATGACCACTATAGAGCAAATTGATAGGAGAAATTCAATACCTCCTTTTGAGGATGCTCCAACTGTTGGGAATGGTGTCCTAAAACCATGGGATGTAATGAAAAATCTTATTATTTATCTAATAAAAGAGAAATTTCATTATTTATGTATATATATTATTTAATATTATGTGAATTGAAAATTCCGTGATTATTTATGTAGCCTTAAATATTGAAATGTGTCATAATGAAGTTAATTAAAGTTTCGGATTCTTTAATTAAAACAATAATAATATATGTTATTCCCATTAAGAATGGAACGGTGTTATCCGCACTGTTAATATGGAGGGATGTTGGATGAGTGTATTATACAAAATGTGATTATATGGAATTGGGACACAGACATGATTTGAATTTTTGATAATTTTTGATAAGTATAGAAATTCGAATTGAGTATACCGATGGTCATATATAGAATGATCTTAATCCTGAGTTATTACCAGACTCCTATTTATAGATTTGTGTCTTTTGACTTACTTGGTACAGATTTTGAGATTCTAAATCCTATTACTTGTATCTTGGAGACATGATGAAGTGAGTAATTGGGAATGTTAATATACAAGATGAAATCCAAACCTTCTTGAGAAAGAAGCAGATAAATAATTTTCTTGTTGATTCGGTACTTGTACTAGTAGGAGCTCCGATTCATGAATTTGTTTTATGAATCACCATCCATTAGAGAATCAATGGTACATAAGGATAAAGATGTAATTAGAGGGGTTAACGAATTTCAGCTGGCTTTAATTATGAATTATTTATAGATGATTGATCTATATATAATGACTATATCAAATGGACACTTCAAGTTCTTGGAAGTAAATTATGTCTATAATTTCGAGAGTGCAATTCTAAGTTTTCAGTGGAGTACCTTTTAGAATTAATAGAATTAATTAATTAATTAAAGAGTTCAATTAATTATTAATTTTATTAGACCTCAGAATTATAGATCCATGAGTCCGCATGTCATTCTTGTAAATTTGTAAGACAATGTGAATTATTATGATTTAATATCACTCAAAATAAATAATGTGATTATTTAATTAAATTAATTTTAGAACACACTGTGGTAGAACTACATGAGGCAACACACCCAGGCACGGGGAGATGCAAGGGGCGTGTAGCACAGGGAGAATCCCACTGGGATTCAATTGGTTGCTCTCCAAAATTTTCGGTTTACTTGTTTGACAAGTTTTCCAATTAAATCCAAAAGAAAATTAAAGTTTGGATTTATTTAGATTCTAATTTTAGCTAAAATTAAAAACTGGATAAAAGTAGAAATTTATCTCCTCCTCCTGCTTGATATTTGCACCAACCACAGGGAGATATCCGTATGGTGTGACCGGCCATAGTAGATAAGGAAGGAAGAGAATTTTGTTTCCAAAATTAAATGGTAAACTATATTTTAAATGAAATTTAAAATAAAGTGGTAACCAATTATCTATTGTTTTGTCCTCAAGTTAAAGTAAAGGGGTCCTTCTAGGACTCTATAAATAGGAGATAATAGAAAATTAGAGAACACAATTTTCTCCTTTCTCCTATGTCATAGGAGTGTAACATAGCTGTTACGGGCGTGTCACATTTGTTAGATAGCGTGTAACATTCTAGTGGCAGCCATATAACCTGAGAGAAAAGAGAAAAAAAGTTCTCCTATTCCCGGTTCCACCTTACACATGCGTTGATATTGGTGGAAGAGAAAATTAGCGAGTGATCAATTCTATAATCTAAAATTAGTGCCCACACTCTAGCTCTTGGAGGTATCAAGGACTAGACGAGAAAGATTTAGACTTTCCTAGAAAGCTTGGAGTGAGTATTGTTCGTGGTCAAAGAACTCATGTTATCGACCTAATCGTTTGTTAGGTAAATAAATTAATTAGATTAATTTATTCGTATATAAATTAATATATTCTATAGAGTTTTTTGAAAGTTTTTTGAAAATTTTTGTTATACACGATTTGTTAGATGCATGCTTCCGCATCCAAAATCGTTTCGGAAACTAACTATTGATATTTGAGCGGTCTATAGACTATATTAATTTATGTACTAATTATGTGATAATCAATGTTAATATCAAATATGTTATATTTAATTATGTATGTATGTGATGGGTAGGCACTTTACATTTATGGATGTTCATATTTTAATTCATGTGCTGAATGTATAGATGATGGATTTAATAGTTAATTATATGATTTTATAGATTGGTTATATATGTTATTTTTTTTAATTTGATTAGAAAATTTATAAACCTTCGGGTGGAGAGATTATTGTAATTTTAGAATTGGAGATTTTCTAATGTAGGGCAGAGGACCTTAAAAGCAGGATAGAGACTGTCGGCCGCCAAATGGAGAAACAAGCTTAAAACAAGAAGCACAAAAACTCCAACCGTTTTTTTTTACTATATATATATATATATATGCAAGGTCTTTAATCCGGCGCGCACTGTTTGGCGTACTGAAACGGCATATGTATAATTCTACTGTTTTCGTGTATATTTATATGAAAGGTGTGTATATTTACATGTAAAGATGTATATGTTAAAACGACAATGTATATTAATCTTCGAAACATGTATTTTTTATAGAAATTAAGTGAACACATAACGTATTAATATGTATAGTGGCTGATTTGTTGTATAAGTTTCTTTTTTTTTACGTTTTGCTATAGGAAACGACAGTATACATGCATTTCTTATTTAAATTAAGTGAATATATAACATATTCGTTGTCTAAGACATGTAAAATTTTGTATAAATAAGGAGGCCTTTGTAAAAATAACTCTTTTGAAAAGTTTTATTAGTAAAATAACTTTTCAAAAATTTTTATTTGCAAAATGACCTCATTTTACAAAGAATGAGTAAATGTCTTTCTTCATGAAAAATAGAATAAGGTCATTTTGCTAATTTCACTTTGTTGGAAAGTCATTCCAGCATATTGCCTTATAAATAAGTGAATAACTAACCTAGTAATGTGTACAATGACTTATTAGTTGTTGTTCAATAGAAGTTGTATTGTAGTTTGCTTGTATACTCAAAAAAAACATGTTGACGTAACTGTAGTTGTTGTTCAATATAAGTTGTAAAATTTGATTTTTAGAATATTTTTTTTTTCTAAGAAGAAGACATTACAAATGACCACAAGCATGAAATTGCTCCCCTTTAGAGGTCATGGCATAATGCATGACATTGGCTTGATTTTCATTTGAATAAGTTCCTTCACTTGTTTGGATATTAACATCAGCTAAGAAAATGGCTAATACAGCCACGCAAATATACTAGATAATGATGAAGTGTTGAAACAAATAAAAATGTTATTTCATTAGGAATGTTTACTAAAGACAAAACAGATACGTGTTAAGTATATAGCTTGATATATGTTATTTGCCTTTCAAAGGATAAGCATCCTACTTTTGGATGTACTAAGTAGTGAATCGGATTGTTGTCCAAAGGAGATAGTAAATCCCTCGTGTTTGGTATTCATGTGAGGGCGGTAGCACTATTGGGAGGAGCATATATTTTACAAAGACATTTGTGTCGGGTGTGTGCTGTCGTCGTTCCCTTCTGAACAAGTCAGCATAGTTTTGGCCTTGTCTTTCTTTAACGGACATGTTTGTTTGTTGTGCCCATGGCCCTTACACATGGCACACTTCCTTTTTAATCTTTCCAAACCCAATTCTTCCTGAGCACTCGGCCCTACTTGCGGCCGCCTTACCGTTCCCTTGTTTTGAACAACAATAGGATCTTTCAATACTTCAAACGGATTGATTTCATCAATAGACTCTTGTTGCCTCACAAGAGGTGGATCCCTGTAGGACCTAGTTAGTTCTAATATCTCCTGTGGGACCTCGTTATTAGTTTGATATCGTGTTTGGAATTGGGCCTTTGCATGAACAGCCCACCTGGACAGAACAAGCGAATCTGGAATTCTTGTTATGTTTAAAAACTTCATAACTGAAAATATGTGTCTGCATGGATATCCATCAGTCTCGAAGAGTAAGCAATTGCATGTTAGATGACCGTCAGAGATGCGAGTATAACATTGTGCTCTGAGTCTATGTTTGGAAACTTGATGATTGAGAAATTTATATACCTATCTATCTCATCAACTTGCCTAACAGTGTATGCATGTATGAGCTTTATTTCATGAGAGACCTTTTTCGTATAAATTCTTCTTGTGAATAAAGAGGCAGCGTGTTGATAGTATGGGTTTAGAATATATGCATGTCGTAAAGAAGGAGTACTGTGTCTGGTGGAGAAGTCATCCTGCAAATCTTTGTGGCGCAGCTTGTTAATGGCGTGGTCAACCAAAGATACAAAGTCCGTGAGAGACTTCGTACTGTCGACCAATTGTCTGATTATTCTATTCATCGACTCGCTATGTTGAGTGGTTCGCATGCCTGCACAGAAGTTGCCACGCAAATAGGTTTCGGCCCAGCTCTCCCTTTTTTCAAACATACATGTTGCCCAGTAGTTGTTCTCCAGTTCGTATGCTAGAATCAAAGAATGCCACATATCGAGAAACTCAGGTTCGGAGTAGTATCCGTACATAATTTCCTTGAAGTCCCACTTGAAGTTTATATCCTTCACATTATTCGCTACGTTCTCCATTAGATGCCATCCGCATAGCCTGTGCTTAGATTCCGGAAAGACTTGCGTTATGGCATTCTTCATGGCATTGTCACCGTCAGTAACGACAACTTTTGGCTTCCTATTATTCATTCCTTGAAGAAACATCTGTAGAACCCATACAAATGTATCAACTGTTTCGTCAACAAGGAGAGCTGTCAAACACTGTTGTCCTCCAGTGGTTGTTCACACCAACTAGCAAAAGCAAAGGCTTGTGGTATTTGTTAGTCCTGTAGGTTGTGTCGAGGGCCAAGACATTACCAAAGACCGCGTAATCTATCCTCGAAACCCCGTCCGACCACATTATGTTATACAATCTATTTTCTTCATCTGCATTGTAGACGTAGTAAAAGTCCTCGCCATGGTTCCTCGCCAAGCATCTAATGTAACCAATCATGCCATCTGAGTCTGTGATGTTTTAATGTTGGTCCTTTGCCATACGCACTCGCATTAGCTTATTATGGATGTCCTTTTCAAGGAAAGGGAGCTTGTCGTGTCCCCCCAATTCTAAGGCAATAAAGTCTATTATTTGGACATTTTTCATGCCAGCCAATTTCATTGACTCACACCTTGCAACAACATCATCAGTGAGATTATGATTTGATCTGAGAAATTTAATTTCTTGTGGTGACGCACATTCGTGGTTATGGTTAGGGTTGAAATGTCTACATACCCACTTATTTGTAGTTTTGCTTCTTACTACCCGAATACTAGCTTCGCACCCACAATGTGTTTCAGACGCCGCCGCTCTTGAGCGGTGTTCTAGTTCCAACCACTTCCATCTCCTAAAACCCTGTCTCGAGCAGCACCACCGTCTATCGCAACGATCACCATCCTTTTCCTTTCTAGTACTATCCTTCCTGTAACTGAAGCCTATATGTTTCGAGTATAACTTGTAGAAGTTATCCCTTAGTTATTCCATATCAAGTTCCATCCCAAGTAAGTCTTCTGGTAGCAAATCCCAAGGCGTTTTAGTCAAGTCTAAAGTGGTAGAGAAATCTGGCCACACCATCTTTGACTGTTGTGGTCTATTCTGCAAATAAAGGAGACCAAGAGTGAATTAAGTGCTCCCATTACATAATTATTTTTGTTGTAAGTGAACATGCATAGACTCAATATTGCAACTATCAACTTCAACGTTTTTATTGTTAAGGGCCGTATTTTATTTTGGTTAATGTGTAGTGTAGCCATGAATGAAGCAAACAATTTGCAAAGAGTTTATGCGGAGAAAACGATTTTAAACTTTAAAATGGACATAAGGAATGAGAAAACATAGACAATGAGACTTCTGAATCGTATTGTAATTAGCAGTGTACCTGTAGTCGTAGCCAATTTGCTTAAACAACCTTTGGAGACGAAAGTAATGCTCTAATATACCTTGCAACAGCCTTTGTAGAAACAAGTTTACTTAGAATCACTGCACGCTTCTCCGAAATAGCCGCAATTTCTTTAGTTAATGGCCAGATAGATTAATGGTGTTTTTGGGTTCTCCCACGGTTTATGATCCTATTTAAATGCAACAATTGGTTGTACCAAACCAATTGTGTTCATCTCATATATGACCACGTTTAAGAAAAGTAGCAAACCTTTTGTGGTGTCTTTTTGTCATGTGTATTACACCTATCCACTGATAATGGGCAGCACGTGAGTTTGAGCATTAAATTCCAAATGCTCTATGAATCACATGAGCCGAGTATTCTAAAGTGTTCCCAATTTTATCCCATATATAACCTGAGTCCGATGGACTACTTTTGGGGAATTTAAAAATTAACCAGGTATGAGGCCAATTTTCCTCGGAAGAAATGTTATGCTTAACATATTGTACATTACAAGTTGAGGACATTTACAAAATATATGTGTCAAAATTAGGAGAACATTATTTTACAACGGAAAATGCAATGACCTTTCAAAATTAGAAGAACATTATTTTACAACAAAAAATGCAATGGCCTTTTAGAAGTCCAAACAATAACACGTTTAATGCAACCTAATCATTAAAGTTTGTATAATATTATTGTGGCTTATCTGGTCACCTTAAATATACTGTGTCACAGTACATGCTATCCGTAATACCGTTATCTTATAAAAAGCAATTAAGAAACAAAATCCTTATGGTTAACACATATGCTATAATATTGACTTTTGATTGCATTACACAAAAACCAAAACATGGCATGTCAATTTGATACGTCATAGGCTTTACCATGCATTAACATGCATGCACTACTAATACCAAAAGTACATGTTCATGACTCACATGAATATTCTAGTTTAGATAACATTTTCTTTGATTTTAGCTACATAAAATAGTCGGAAAGTAATGAACATCAAACACTCCGTTCGGCACTAGTCTAGGGGAATACACTCAACACACACTAGCTCACGTTTGGCTTCCTTCTTGTTCTTTTCAGTTGCATTCCCAAGGTCTTTCACTAGGCTGAGAACACGATCTTTGGAGAACAGGGGACTTTTTAACCAAATTTTTCATTTTACAGATAATTGGAGTCTACAATAGAGGTATAATTAAGTTCTTTTTTACAAATGTTGTACAATTTAAAGTGTTTGGAAGATTACCTCGTGAGTATCCCGTCGATCTTCACACGGGTCAACGAAGTGGCGGCGGAGAAGATGAACTGGTGGTGTTTGAGGGGAGAGAAAATGTTAGGGTGGAGGAGAGAGTAGTGGGTTTGGTTGTGGGACTGGTCGTTAGGCGGCACATCTCTTCATCGGGCTGTCAGAAGTCGCCTCCAGCAAGATCCCTGCGGAGGTGGTCGAGGAAGCGGCAGTGGAGACAGAGGATGAAGTGGTGGTGTTTGAGGAGAGAGGAAATGTCAGGGTGGAGGAGGAGATAGAAGTGGATTTGCTTGTGGGAGTTCCGAGTTGTAGGGACGCGGCCTCGTCCGCCTGTCAAAAGTCGCCGGAGCTGATGTGGCTGCAGAGGAGGTCAATGGAGCTCGATGAAGGTTGAGGGATGTCGAGGGCGAAGTGGGTTCGGGAGTGCTCTGCGTTTGAGAAAGGAGATAGCTTTTGAGAAACAAAATTTTCATCTACACCGTACAAATTTCAATCTGACGGTCACATTAATTTAGAACAATGAGAGGCAATTTCTCCTTAAATCTGAGACGTCAATTTCATATCCAACGGTCAGTTTTCATTGTTCAGCACAATTCCAAGGTTCGGACTAAAGACAATTCCTATGTGTGTGTGTGTGTGTGTGTGTGTGTGTGTGTGTGTGTGTGTGTTTTCTTATTCAGTTGTGGTTTAGAATTATGGCTGCTACTCTAATCAGCGCAAAAGTTTGCGCACGGCGCACGCACTCAGACAAAAGCATGCGCGCACTGATAACGTTTTATTGATTATATATAATTTTAAATCTATAAAATATTTTATTATAGGTATAAGATACATACAAAATATATATTAATATATGTAAAAATTAT